AAGGAAATTCGAAACGACGATCTACCTCCATTTTTCTCAACGTCCACCGACACCGAAAACAAACTGCGACTTTGACGTGTTTTCAAGGTAGGGCCATCCCAAGGGAACGGCTAAAGTTTCCGGGAAAACGCACCTTAATAAGAAAACTTTCCTCGGGAGAAATGAGCTTAATGCAGTACCAAGACTAAACCATTTTTTGAGCCGAATGAAAGTAAAAGTTCTTCGGCGTAGTTGGGAAAACAATCCGTTCTCCGGCGATTACGCGATTTACGCTTTTTAAATACTTTCGCAAAACGCGCTCGACGAGACGTCATCAAGGACTTATGCAATTATAATTACAATAAGTCGTGACGTACTCGACTCCCACGCGTTTTATTAACTCCTAGAAAAAGAGATTTATGATCTTGGCGACTCAGATTTGTCGTTATTATTTTTTTTCTAAGTACAGTTTACTACGGACTTGACGTGACCAAGTCGTTTATTCTGATTATTGCCTCCTTCTCTCAGCAAAATTTATCTCGTTTATCCTTGAAGGCGAGGCTGTTATTAAATTACACTTTGCTGTCGTCTTCGGGTGATTTCCTTTTACAAATATCAGATAAAATTAAGTGTCGAGTTGAAGTTACACTTTTTTTTTATTTTTCGTTTCTTTTTATGAATGGTCGAGTCAATTCCTTTTAGTGTTGATGAGTCAGTGGTCTTGTTGTTATTGTTTTCGCTTTTTGCTCGGCGACAACCTTCGATTTGACCTTACGAGGAGCCGTTATTTGCGTATGAAAGGTTTGCTCACCTCACCAGATGCACAGTATTGCACGCAGTGAATCACCAAGTTCTTATACAACTACGTCTTGTTTGTATTTGTTCTTGAGGAACTTGAACTGTGTTATATTGATTTTTCCGGTAATGAAATAAAAAGATAGGTTAAATATTATTCAAAAAATAAAAATGACTAAATTAGACTAATATTTAAATATAAAAATTTTTTTATGACTCATGTTACTTAATTAACTCATTTTGTATCATAAGCTCAGATATACGCGGAATTTTTTTTGCCATTATCATCGAAGCACGTATATTTACAACTTGAGGCTGAGTAACAATTACAACTAGACCTAACACTAGCACTAGAACTAACACTAAACCTAGAACTAGAAACATTCGAGTTTAGCCTCACTTCTCTCAAGACGGCTAAACTCGAATGATTCTAGTTCTAGGTCTTGTGTTAGTTCTAGTGATAGTGCTAGTGTAAAACTAGAACTAACACTAGACCGAGAACTAGAAACATTCGGATTTAGCCGCACGTCTCTCAAGACGGCTAAAGCCGAATGATTCTAGTTCTAGGTCTTGTGTTAATTCTAATGATAATGTTAGTGTAAAACTAGAACTAACATTAGACCTAGAGCTAGAAACATTCTAGTTCTAGTTTTAGTGCAATAAAAGTATGCAACACAGTGATATCTTATGCTAACTAGTGTGTTAGTTCTAGTGATAATGCTAGTGTAATACTAGAACTAACACTAGACCGAGATCTAGAAACATTCGGATTTAGCCGCACGTCTCTCAAGACGGCTAAAGCCGAATGATTCTAGTTCTAGGTCTTGTGTTAATTCTAATGATAGTGTTAGTGTAAAACTAGAACTAACACTACACTTAAAAGTAGAAACATTCCGGTTTAGCCGTGAGTCTGAAGACGGCTAAACCCGAATGATTCTAGTTCTAGGTCTAGTGTTAGTTCTAGTTTTAGTGTAATAAAAATATGCAACATAGTGATATTTTATGCTAACTAGCGCTACCTACCACTGTCACTAGAACTAACATTAACCCTAGAACTAGAAACATTCGAGTTTAGCCGCACATCTCTCAAGACGGCTAAAACCGAATGATTCTAGTTCTCAGTCTTGTGTTAGTTCTAGTGATAGTATTAGTGCAATGCTAGAACTAACACTAGACCGAGAACTAGAAACATTCGGATTTAGCCGCACGTCTCTCAATACGGTTAAACTCGAATGATTCTAGTTCTAGGTTTTGTGTTAGTTCTAGTGATAGTACTAGTGTACAACAAGAACTAACACTAGACCTAGAGCTAGAAACATTCGGGTTTAGCCGTTCATCTTCAGACGGCTAAACCCGAATGATTCTAGTTCTAGGTCTTGTGTTAGTTCTAAAGATAGTGGTAGTGTAAAACTAGAACTAAGACTAGACCTAGAGCTAGAAACATTGTTAGTTCTAGTTTTAGTACAATAAAAATATGCAACATGGTGATATCTTATGCTAACTAGCGCTACCTACCACTGTCACTAGAACTAACATTAACCATAGAACTAGAAACATTCGAGTTTAGCCGCACGTCTTTCAACACGGCTAAACCCGAATGGTTCTAGTTCTAGGTCGAGTGTTAGTTCTAGTGCTAGTGTTCTAGTTTTAGTTGTTTATCAGCGTTTATGACGTTATCATTCTCTTTTTCTGTTGAAAAAATGATGATGTCTGTTTTTCTCCGATTGTTTGATGATATGGTCCACTTCGTCATTTCTTTTGAATGATGTAAATAGATTAAACAAATAATAACTACTACTTATATTTTTAGTTATCTAGCGCCTTCAGGAAATAACAAACATAACTTCTTTACAACAAAATTTTTAAATTTTTTTTCTATAATGATTAAAACCAATCAATGAGTGATTTATAACCACTTAGCAAGCCGCCAAGTCACCTGATTAAAATACAAAACAACCTGCATTCACTTCTCATTAATAAAAAATAGGCATTGAAAATGGGTATGGTCACGCATAAAGAATTAATTTCTGCTTTTATATAAAACCGTGTTGTATAAAGTATAGTGAAACTTGATAGTTAAAAGCGTTTTAGTATAAATTTAACTTAGGTTGGCATTGATATAATGTAGCTCAATGCGCAGATTCAAAAATTTGCGTCTACTTCCTCATAAACATATGCTTTAACGAAGTAATAACGGAAGATTTAATGACCACAAATATATTTTGTCCGTGTTACGGTAATTTAAGGCAAGGCTCTGTAATATTTAGGGATATCACTTGGATGTATGTCAACTATATTCATTCATTACCAGAACATAACCTATAAACATTGAATTTAAATTTGGCTTAATTGCTAGTGCTTAGGGAATGCTGCTATACATTATAGCCGAGATTACTTGCGGTCGAGACTTTATAAATTAAGCTTTTAAGAAGATAGTGGATTAAGTTCTCAATTGTCTTCATGTTGTTCCTATGACTATGAATCTTTATCACCTGTCTTGTCATCCTTTTGTAGTAATTTCTAACACCTTGGTTTTATCAAAATCTATGTAATGTCTCATTTTGTGGCAATGCTCTGCGACTGTTGGATCTTATTCAATTGGACATCCCTCTCATGCTCCTTGATGTGGCACTCGATGTTACATCCAGTTTGGCTAATGTATAGACTTTCATTCCTTTTAATGGGATTAATTTGTCTTTGACTAGCGAAAGAGCGTTTCGAATTTTGCTTACAGTACCGTATCATAGCATGATATCGTTTCTGAAACATGAAGGAGCTAGATAAATCCGACTGGTGCAGGACTTACCGTGTATTCTCGCTGTGTTCATCATTTTGTGGATCGCTGTATATTCCTCAGACTGCTGCCGTTCTTCTAGAGTACATGGTTCTTCAAATTCTTTCAATTCCATATCCATTTTTCTCGCTGGAACAAGACTTTGATCACTAACCTCTTCTGTTGTGGATGCTAATGGGATGAAGCGTGTAGATACATCTACACGCTTCTAGGAAAAATAACTGTATTGCAGCCATGGTAAATTTTGTCATGGAACGCTGCGTGTTCAGATGGTTTAGGAACTCTTGACGACGCTCTTTTCCATGCTGCCAGATCACAACATAAAAAAGCTTTGCTTTTTACAGTCTCTTCCTTAATGTTTCTTCTTTAAACACTTCCATGTAGAAATTGTGATTACGCATTCCTCTTCCATCTAAAATATGTCGATGATAAACTATATTCCACTAGCCTTGGAACATACTTCGGCAACTCCTCCAAAATGAGTTTCTGGCGAAGACTATCCACGGCATCTTTGACTGGTACTCTATTAAATAGAAATTTTACATCGAAGGATGTCCTGGGGATCTAATTTTATGCTTTTGATTAATTGCATAAAAGTATAGAATTTTATCCCAGTCTTTTCTAGCCATAGAACTGGAAAGTGTGAGGTGGAGCCGTATTAACTTCCGCAACTTCTGCATTGTTGTTCATTGCTGTATTCTTATGCAAGGCCATTCTTCATTTATGCTATGCAAAAATCAATAGTCTAGCAACCTCTGACTCAGTATGATCTGATGTTTTGGATGGAAATAGCTCATCTTCTACCGACTAACACATGGTCTATTAGGTTGGTCTAATTTGTTTCCGGTATCTGCCACATTCCTTTATCTATATTTTTTCTTGGAAACTAAGTGTTCACAACTTTCAAGTTATTGTTTATATGAAATTGTGCAACTCTGAATTCATTGCCGCTTGACTCTTCTTAGAGGGTCTTTGCCAACTTTTGTATTAAAATCTCCAAGGACCACAATGACCTTATGTTTTGGAATTATCTCTATCATACGGTTTGTAGCTCATCATAAAAGCTGTCTGCAATATGTTCTTCTACAGCTTCAGTTGGTTTATTCTTCTAACACATTGCCTACTAAATATTGGAAGTAATATTAACTACTAATACATTGTTTCCATTGGTTATTATGAATACAATTCCACCTTCATCCAGAGTAATCAATCGCGTATCTCTTGGGCTACATTGATCATAAAGCCGAATAATCTCCTGGTCCAGAGACTCTTATGTTGCAGTTACCATATCTTACAATTAGTCGAGGTGTTCTAGCATTATTATTATTATTATTATTAAGTCGAAACTTTTGCCCAAAAACTTAAAGACTATTTATAAATTTGTACAGCTTAATTAATTATTTTTTCTAATTTGTATTGTTTCTTTTTTCAGATGTCCAAACTCAATACTTTACAGGATTCGTCGCAGTGCTATTGGCCATATGTTCGGTGGTTCTGCTAGCAGGTTGCATCTGTTGTCGTCGTAACAAGAACGGATTTACGGTAAGCCCATCCTGTTTTGACTATCTCTCTCGTCATCTTTTATCGGGCTTCATTAGACAATTGTGCGCAACACACATCCACACCGGATGGCTTTAGTAGTGTCGCCTTCTTCTTCCCACCGATTAATGTGTGGCGATGGACTCTGGTACGTCCAGAGGCTCACGTGCAGACAATAATCTTGTAGGGCTCTCGGTACAACGAACCGGAAGCGGCGTTTATTGCCCGAAGAGGGCGACACTGCGGATTCTGATTCATCCGCTCGTAATGCACGTTAATGGCACTTAAACGGGCGAATGAATCAAGTCAGCAATTGGGAGTGATGTTGGGTTTTGCTTAAAGAGGATTTGGTACATTGGTGAATGGGAGACGTGAGACGGTTTGAAAATTCCTTTGGTTGATTAATATTCATGCGATGAGTTAACGTTTGTTGGAGTTTAACCGCTTCTTGACAAGTGCGGACGTAATCTAATCGGTAGCAGAGTATCGAATATCCTGTTCCTGTTAACTGTTGACTCAGAGTTAGATATATTTATTCATTTATTTTTTTTCGTGCAATTTTAATTTTCGTTCTGACAAGATAATAATAGGATTAAAAATAAATATAACACGTGGTGTTTGGGTTTTAATACTTTACGCCGAGTTTATCGTCCGCATACCACAAATATCCCGTTAATACCTCTTCGAAACAAAAAAAGGGGCATTTATACATACAACCGTGTGGCTTAGAATTGCGTGACCATCCACCGACACCATAGCCATTATAAACGGTAAAATTTGTTCGAATGGTCGCACGCAAATCCCTGCAGAGGGAGCGACGGCACGTTGAACGCATCGATTCAACCCCAAACAACAATGAAATTGCCTAATTCAAAACGCAGATTATCAGATCAAAGATGTTATTTTCACATTACTTTCTCTTCTAATCCAATTGGATCATTTATTCTATTTATATTTTTTATGTAGAGGTAAAAGCGACATTTTGTGTCTCCGGGGTCAGGTTATTAGACCGTGAAACTATAACCTTTTAGTCGTCAAACGTCTCTTCGGTAAATCTCTCTCTTTGTTTGGCTTTCGCGGCTGTCATATATCCGTTTTCGCTTTCTTTAATTGATTGCTGGCGAATTTCTCCGAACGAACAAACGGACGTTCCTATCCTATTGATTGTCGTAACATGATGGTAATTACGTGCGGTTACCACGATAATGGCATTGAGCTTTACAATAGAAACTCTCTGAATAATAGCGCAAAGTTAGGCCTCGAAATGATTGCGGCGTTACGAGAAAGGTGGCGCTCCTGAATTCGATCAATGACGGATTGTGGTTAAAAATAATCGTGACTGGCCATGAGGTGCACCGGCCAACTTCTCTCATCTAAAGTTACACAATTATAAAACGGTATCATCTAACAAGAAAAATTCGTTCAAAAAAAAATGTACAATTTTATTTGACTGCCACTGTATATAGTAAAATCTCGATATAACGAATCTCGTTAGAATGGACAACATATGTTCATAGAGAAACGATAAGATTTATACGATGTATAAATAAAGGATGGTGGTTCTAGTTTTAATTGTTATACAGCATTAAAATGTTGTATATTTTTCATTGAACTATAACTAGAACTAACACTAGACTTAAACTAGAAATATTCGGATTTAGCCGTGCGTCTCTTTAAGACGTCTAGTATTAGTTCTAATGCTAGTGTTAGTTCTAGTTGTTATACAGTTTTAAATTGTTGTATACTCGTATTTTTTATTGAAGTAAAACTAGAACTAACACTAGACCTAGAACTAGAACGTTTCGTTCCAAATGTTTCTAGTTCTAGGTCTAGTGTTAGTTCTAGTTTTACATTAGCAGTATCACTAGAACTAACACAAGACCTAGAACTAGAATCATTCGGGTTTAGCCGTCTTGAGAGACATACGGCTAAACCCGAATGTTTCTAGTTCTAGGTCTAGTGTTAGTTCTAGTTTTACACTAGCACTATCACTAGAACTAGAATCATTCGGGTATAGCAGTCTTGAGAGACGTGCGGCTAAATCCGAATGTTTCTAGATCTAGGTTTAGTGTTAGTTCTAGTTTTGCACTAGCACTGTCACTAAAACAAGTGTTCCAAAATAAGTGTCCGATTTGAGATTTTTTATAGGATTATTGAATAAACAAAAAAGAAGTTGTAATTATGAATTTATTTATACAGGGTGTATCTGAATGACTGCAACAAACTTCAAGGGGTGATTCTTTAGTGAATTTTAAAGGTACTTTGATATACAGTGTGTCCCCGGATAGGTGAAACGACTCTAATAAAAGGTAAATTTTTTTCGATATTAATTCTCATTTTTTGAGGTTTAGCCCTGCTTGATTAACGACTAATTTTGAACATATTTTTAATTTTTAAAAAACAAGTGAGCCTTGACAGTGAAAGAAAAACTCTTTTTGTGGCAGGTAAAGTATATTTTCTGTTTACAGTACGTGAAAGTGTTACTAAGAAGTTTTGTTCAGAATGAAAAACTATGGCCATATGCAAATTTTCGGATTGATCGGCCTACTTTGAAAATATCCATATCAATCAATTTTATTTCTAACAAAGACTGCCATGGATAAAACAAAACTGCTTTCCTGTCACTAGTAATCTGTCAAACTGTAATTTAGTAAATTTAAAGTGTTTTTTTAATAGAATGTTAACATTAGAGGAAAAAGTTTACGTGATTTAGTGTTATGGAATCAGGGAAAAACCGATAAATGTGAAGGGGGTGGTTACGTTTAGTAGTTTAGAAGGGTAGGTTGAAAGTACAAGTAGGGTCAAAACATGCCCTATTATGAGTTAAACATATTCCCCAAATTTCATTTTCCTAGCGTTTATGGTTTTTGAGAAAAACAAATTAAACCAAAATTTTCCGCCAATTTTGGAGGGGTGTAGCTCCTTAGGGGAGCCGAAGTCGCCCATGGTTCATATATCAAAGTACCCTTAAAATTCACTAAAGAATCACCCCTTGAAGTTTGTTGCAGTCATTCAGACACACCCTGTACAGGATGTCTCACGTAACTGGTTCGTTAGAACTTTTTTAGGTTCCAGTATTCGTACAGTTTTGAAATTTTGGTAGTATGGGTTGTTCAGTCGGAACTTTCGATCTAAAATATTTTCAAGATGGCTGCCACTTCCCGTCTACCGGAAGTAGACCATAACTTCGTTATTTTAAATGGAATGCTATAATTTTTATTGCACCTTTTAATTGTACGTAAAAAAATATGTTGACTTTGATAAACGTTATTGGTACCTAGCATTTTTCGTTTTCGAGTTATTTGATTTTAAGGCTTTTTTGGCAAATTTCACCATGCTCTTCAAAACCCTGTATACCAGCCAACGTTCATTCAAAAAAGCTCTAAATTGGCACGATTACTCTTCAGATGCTTTCAAATAGATTGTCATCAGAGTATCTTATATACTCTGATACTGAATAGTACCTGAAAAAGTTCTAACGAACCAGTTACGTGAGACACCCTGTATAGAACACATATTTATTGATCATAGTAGGTCGGGTATGTTTATGATAGTAGAAATTTAAACCAGTGTCAATTACTAAATCTTGGTAAAAATAAGTTAATTCTATATTTTCCGCCAAGTATAAAAATTGAAAAAACTCATGTCAGAAATATACGAAATTATAAAGGAGCGTTGAAAAAACCTAATTTAAGCAACAAGCAGCGACAAGGTGTCTTACAATATCTGCTGAAAAACGTAAGTAATGAAAAGTGGAAACACGGTGCAATTAAGCAGTGCAGCACCAAATTCAACGTTTGTACGCGGACAATAAACCGTATTTGGAATGCAGCAAAACAGGATTATAATGTCGGATCTTGTACAGCTAACGTCGACTGAAAGAAAAGAGGAAATTCTGGAAAGAAACGTAAAGACAGAGAAGGTATAAAAAAGAAAATCTCGGAAGTTTGCATAGCATAAAGATCAACCACTCGCAGTCTTTGTAACAATATTAACGAGTCATTGGGAACAGTGCACAGAATTTTAAAGGAAGAATTCAAAAAGAGAGCATCGATTAGAATTTGCACTTTGTATGTTACAAGAACCTAGCCTATATTTTCAAGTAATATTAAAGTTTGTTCATATTGATGAAAAATGGTTTTACATAACCCAAAACTAAGACAAACTGTTACCTTCTTCCCGAAGAAGAAACACCTCATCGAACAAGAGTAAATTAGATAGATTCTCTTAACAGAACTCATGTTTCTAGCTGCAGTGGCTCGTCCAAGATATGATTACAACAAAAAGTCTGAATTTAATTGTAAAATAGGCTTATGGCTTATTGTAACTCAATGACTAGCAAAACGAAATTCTAAAAATCGTGTACGTGGGACATTAGTGACAACACCTGTTGAAGTTTCTCGTCGAATTTATGTGGACATGATTACCAAAAACATTATTCCAGCTATAAAAAAAAAGTGGCCGAAGGGTAGCAAAAAGATGCCCATCAAAATTCAACAAGATAATGCCCGACCTCATTGTACTATAGATGATGGTGAAGTAATTCGGGCCGGAACAGCTGATGGATAGAATATTAATTTGATTTGTCAGCCACCAAACAGCCCTGACTTTAATGTTCTTGATTTAGGCTTTTTTAATGCAATTCAGTCTATACAACATAAAAGCTCGATGCATAATATAGATGAATTAATTGCTGCTGTTTTGAAGGCATGGGATGATACACCTGCATATAAATTAGACAATGTTTTTATGACACTGCAGAAATGTATAGAGTCCTCCATGTTTCATAAAGGAGGTAACAATTACAAAATCCCTCATACAGAGAAAGAAAAATTACGGTCTACTGGACAATTACAAAGAAATGTAATTTGTTCAAAAGAAGCTGTTGAAACTGCACGGATGGCATTAAATAGTTTATAATTTTTATTTAAATTATACTATAAAAAATTTGGTTCAATTATAATTTAATACAGTTCTGTTAATAAATTAAAATATAGGAGTAC